ATTCTCAATCATACATTTACGGGGACCCCTATGTCCTTGACCAGGGTGTCTCCTTTTATCTGTTCTAGTTGGATTCAGAGTTTCGTCAAGTTGGCTCATACAGCAATGTCTCAGTCAAGGACGATGTCCCTGAACTTGCCTTGAAGCTTCGCTGAGCTAGCTGCAAGAGATTTTCTGCTATTTTCCTGATTCTGCTTAGCGACTGCGGTTCGTAAATTTCAATGTTGACTGTTCTCCTCGTTTCAAAAATGAACCTTTATTCACAATCTTTGCAAGTTCTAGATAAGCTTTCGTAGAGTGCCGTCTTTTCTCCCATGTGTGCGTGAATATTCCATTCAATTAACAGCAGCCACAGCTTCCAGGACATATCATAGAAGGGTATATATATAAAGCTTCGTGCATCTCTGGCTCAAGTTATTTTCACAGTCGCATTCTTGCCATTTGCTCATCATGACCCATATATGTATCTCTCTAGGGTCAAATGGTACTCTGTTCTTAAGAAAAATTCAAATTAGTTGATCCAATTATCCTATTTGTACTGGGTATATTTCGAAACAATCAGTAGATCTTGTATAAGTGCTCTATTCATCTTAGGTCGTAGAAGGTTAGGAAGAACTGATTGCTGAATCAGCCCAAAATTATATGAGTTTGTCTTACGTATCAATTCAAGTTAACATAGCTTTGCTTGCCAAAAGGTATTCTCAGCTTAAACCTCGCCTGGATGTTTTGAAAAATACCCAGTACTATTATAAGTAATGTAGTCGATTGTAATTAAGGGTAAAAATTTGCTACATAAATAATCTCACTACAAAATTGTCATAGTTAAAATAGGCCTTTTTATATGATTGTGGGTAAATTCAACTATTAATCTTTGATCACCTTATGCCACCTATGGCAAATGTTAAGCTTCTTCATTTCTTAGTCAGTCTTAGGCGCATTATCATCATACTCCTTACTAGTTAGATCTTTACTCTGCATTTATAATGAGTTTAAAAATTGCTGTTTATTTCATTGTAGAATTTCTTTGTAATAACTGTTCATAAGGTTTTCTTTCGAGCGAGCTACCTCCAATTTTATGAACTGTGGTATCCTGTCCTCCTACACTTAATTATAAATTTCACTTTTTCATCAATCTGGCCTATAAACCTTAAGAGATTCTCAAAAATTTCCCTACAATATTACCAGTCTACAAGTTAGTTGTTCATTTATTTCAGATTTAATAAAATCAGTCACAATGGCATCCTGAATTCTTTCAATAATTTGTTCTCACAGACATTAGCCAGAAGGGGAGAAGATGGTGAGACCATAGGTGGACTAAGTATCTGCTCATAGATAAAATCACTGGAGGTGAAATAGGTAGTTCTAATCGTCCGGTTGATTGGCTCTGTTAAATACTCCTTATTTGGCTCCGCTTCAAGGATATCATCATCTTTCAGCCGCCTTTATTAGCCTCATACATTTTTAAATCGTATGCCCGTGTTTACCTCAGTAATATTTGATCTCCCACAATGTAATGCACCTATTTCCGTCTGTCTTACCAATATTAAAAATAGATTAAACACACATAGGTCTTCCATTTAATTATAGGAGCATACTTATTGGTCGTGAAGTCTACGAATTTTGTCATTCCCCCAGCCAGAGGACCATGGCAAACACCGTTTTCGTTTAGCAAAGCATCACTCCCTTTCATATTTTGCGCCTACACAAGGAACTTAATAGATTATGTTGCCGGTACTCGTGTACATCTTTATACACATTTTGAGGTATCAATAATGAGCCCTCCTATTCGGCCAGAGTGGTTGGAAGATAAGGGTCCCAGACTAAGCAACCTTCCTTCTCTTCTCTGTCCAAGTTTACCTAAACGACGTCGTCAACTCTTTTTCATATTTCTTCAGGCTCCTCCCCGTTAATAGCAATTATTGGCATACTCGGGTCCATGCACAAGGACTCAGCTCCTTTATGTGAATTGCTTTAGTCATTTACTGAAACTTTCTAACTCTCAGCATCGCATAACTCCTGTCATGTCAAGTTGTATTTGTGATTTTACTTGCCTTTTTGAAGTGATAGGCATGCGACTGGTTTTACTTTATTTTTATTCTGGTCATTCTTTTTATGGGAATCTAAGGCATATGGTTCATTGAAATACTTATAAACTAAGAAAAGGAGGTATCTTCGCACGGATATAAATGAATACACCGCCTAATTAACCACTTTTCTTTATTTTTAAACCTACTTACATTTCGGGGGAAAATGTTTAGTGAATGTATTCGAAGGATGATCCCATCAGAAGACGATGTCGAATTCCTCTTGACTAGCTGTTTTTTGGGTCTAATGGAGCTTTCTTGTCAACACTGTTTACAAGGCAATCTACTTTTATTTTGCTGAAGGATGTATTGTGGCACGACTTTCTCTTACGAAGTAAAAGTTGGTTAGGAAGTCTAAGAGAAAAAGTCCCATGGTTTAGTATATTTTTTTCTTTATTTCGTATATTATGGATTCTTGATGTAATGATATCTGTCCTAGCGGTACAGACGAAAACTTAGCACTGGTTCCTTCGTGTTGCAGGACGGTGATCCGATGATTGTTTCACACAATAAAATATTCTTCACTCATCGGCACCCCTCCGGTTTCCGGTTAGACCATGTCACGTATTCCTTCCAACCAACTTTTCATTTGAAATGGAAGTTCATGTCACAATTAAACATTAAAAATTCTTTGAAATCAGGTCTTTCTACACACGATTTAATGCTTTATTAGTTTTCGGTGAGAAAATTACGAAACTTTGTGTGAATTGTCAAGTCTTTTCTCAGAAATTCTAAGATAAAATTATACGCTGCATTTATTTGTGAAAAATGGCTGGATTCCTTCGAAGTGGAAGGCCATGTCAAAATAATCACTAAGAAATTCTTCAAAACTCTATTTTTCTTCATATATTCAAAGATCAGTGATGTGGTGAAATCACAGAAACAGGCAGATAAAGGAAGGATCCTACTGAGGAATAGGGAACTCTGATAGGAACCGAAGAGGGAGGATTGCGGAATAAACCGCAGCCTACGATCAACACTCCCGGCACAGAGGGAGGGATAAGGAAACCGACGGGGAGTGTGAATAGATTTCAAATAGGTATAGATAAACAAGTTAAAATAATAATATTGAAGGGGCGATACAAGGAAATAGGATAGATGAATAGCCCAGGATAGAAGGAGAGATGCCACAACTGTTTAACACACATTTGGTCAAAGTATCGACTCCACTTGTCTCTTTGACGAGTTATAGTGTGGTGCTAAGAATGGCACGGCTCAATGACCATGCCGACTACGATGCCGGCGAAACTTCTGGGAATGTACCAAGTCCATGGCCCGACTCTGGAAATTATCATACATAATGTGGACTCCAGACAAGGTGCGTTCCTCTGGGCCTTCCTGCCAATATGACCAAGTTGCAAAAACAAAGTTAAAAAACTTATATACAACGAAAGGAGACCTCGATCATACAAACTATGTTTACTATTTTGAATTTATTTTTTATTCATATAGCTACATTATAGATTCTAATCTAATAAGCTTTTCTATCTTGGTTTTCTATCTGCTTCATATAACTATTCCCTTTTTAATATCAGACTACAAAATTCTATGCTTTGTCAAATTTTATCTAAAAAAATATGTTCATTTATCTTATCCTACCTAGAAGGGTAATTTGTTTATGTATATGCTTAGTTTAGGCACATTACTGATGGTCTTTATAAGCTTTGGATTGAGTAGCCCTAGTATCGCGTACGTTCAATGTAACATTATTTTTTGGTTTTTTAACTTAATTATGTTGGCATACCTTTACTTTTATTTGAAGAGAAAGGTAGTCATACTGATTCTAAAGAAGGATGAACTTGGATAAGTGACTGTTTGATTGCATGAAGAAGACCTTAGCTCACCGTCTTGCGAACCTGATGAATCCTCGTTGAGCTTTAGTCTATCGTCTGACGTAATCGCCAAATCCAGGAACCATTATTTACGAATAATCACTGAAAAACACACTAAGAAAGGAAAGGTTGCCGGCCAAAAACCTAATTACTAACCTAGTTTTGCGAAATTAATAAGGTATTCCACGACTTGGGGGATTGTTTCAGGCCCTCTTTATATTCATGTAAATGAGTGAAGTAGATGTATGAAGGGGGCCAGCTTGTAACCATAACATAAGTATTTAATAAGTAAGCCTAATTATTACTACTTAAAGCTTCAATTTATAATACCTTTATAAGCACAACTATATCCATAGGTAATTTACTCCCTCCTCCCAATATTATCACTATACGCTCCACGTTCGTTTCCACTATTTTTTAACTTGCACCAAATTTTCCAGACCTGATCATATTTGAATTTAATTCTTCAAATCTGGTATAGCTAAGCAGACTGCATACATTTGGTTGACAAAGAATGCATTGTTTATCTTGTATGGATTTTTTACTGGATCAAAATCATGTTGATGCAGCTATACAGCATAGGAACTAAATCATGTGATATGTCTAAATGTGTTTGGTGATCTTACAATCATATTGCATCAAATACTAATAGTTGCACATTAAAATGATACTAGCTAATTTTTTTAATAACGTGTCTAAATAGATAGTTTCTAAGCCTTATTCTTTTCCTATGAATTATGGTTCAAATCCTCTCGCCCAAAGCTAGCTCACTCTAAAGGATTTATGTTATGCTATAATTCGCAACATTAAATACTTCTGAATTATATAAGTAAAAGCTATATAGACAATAATAAATATATATCTGTTGTAAGACTCAACTGCTTTCTATTAAATATTTATGCTACCCCTTTTTTTAGCGCGGTGTTTGTTTTCTTCACATGGCCTCTAGTTCTCTGTTTTTGGATCGTCCTTTGCCAGATCCAAGCTCGTCCTACCCTTTAAATGTTACCTATTGTGGAGGTATATTTTAACAATTTGTGTTAACACTTAAGAATGTGGGATGCCTTTAGAATACTGTGAATTCTCCCCCACTCCTGAAAAGTGTATGGAATGGCTTGGAAAACACTTACCTGATGAATTTGAAAAACTTAAAACAGGGGATGGAAAAGGTATGGAATCTGTCTAGATTATTCTATATTGTTTCTGTCAATATATTTATTCCGATTTATTCAGCTAGCATTTCTACTTCGGCTGATCCTGTCCCAGAAACTGCTAGTGGAGAAGCTGTCACTAATTCAGCGCAAAAGCCCTCCAGACAAACTAGAGGAGGTAAAGCGAATACAACTTCTGTTAAGAAAATTACAACCAAACAGCAGATCCAGCTATTCCGTTCACCTCGAGGCAAAAACAAGTTTACGACAAGTGTTGTTGGTCTTTCTACTTTCGGTATTTGTCCATCGACCATTAATTTTTTGTATAAAACTGCTCTAATTAAAATATTCTTACATATCCTCTAGTTTTATTAACCATTCTTAAGTACTTGTTACCTAATTATATTTACCGACAATTTAACTTCACTTCTTTCGCATGCAGACATATTTCCCCTTATTAATGCCGCATTCTCTTATAACTTTTTCATAAAGAGCTTTTTCGTGCTGTCAATATTACCTCCACCTGGATAATTCTGCTTTTAACGATATTTTTGTCGCTAATCGCCTTACACTTATCCTCATTGCCTACTTATTTTTATTTTTT